ACGCTCCCGGGCGTTGCCAAACCTGCGTATCCCCTGCAAACAGCACGGATGGTCTGCAGTGCATCCTGCCTGTCTGGGATGAACCAAAGGTGCTGAGCTCTTCAGCTCAGCCGTGCAGTCCCTGGTGAAACAGCCAGACCGTGCATACTGCCCGTGTGTAGCACGAGGCCCATGCCATCGCAGCGCCTGGTGTACGTGGGCGTACGTTAGCGCTGTGCACGATTGGTGCCACGGACAGGGGTAGAAGGAACAAGGGCAGATGCTCCACCATGCTCTTCTCCATGCCTTGGCTGCAGTGTACCACTTGTTCTGGGCCATGGGTGCTCAGCATAGTGACACGAAAGAGGAAAACACACCCTGAGGGTGAGTTTGATTACAGAAAGATTAATTATGAAAAAAAATGAAGCACAAGATTTTGAGTGGTTGATTGGATTGTAGACCTAAATCTCCAAACGCCAGCATTTTAATTAGCAGCCGAGTAGTAAAATATTATTAGGGTTTGTTTTCCTTTCGAGGCGTACGCCGAGCCGGCTACTGAGCAGCGTTTCCCCGCAGCCTCACCGCGCTCCGCGAAGCCCCAGCGTTAAATCCCAGGAAGGGCTGGTTTCAAAGGCTTTGGGACGCTTATCCGCCCAGCTCTCAGCTACAAGTCAGTGGAGCTGGGGGTGTCTCTGTGATTTTGGAAGTCTCCCACCCGTAGTGCTTTTCTCAGCTCTGAGGGGGTGGTCAGGTCCCTGCCGTCCCTGTGGCTGACCTCTGAGCAGCCTCCGCGTGGCACCCCGGAGCACGCGATGGGCATCTGCCCCGTCTCCAGCAAGATCTTGACTTTGGTATACACTAAGTGCTTTTTGGGGCCAAATTTCGTCAATAACAGTAGAAAACTTGCCTCCAAGGTAGGACAGGGGCTCTAAGCCAGCAAAGAAGATACTAAGCATATACTTAGCTTTGCTGATTTGTGGCAGCTGCAAGTAAATTTTGCGAGATGTGCTTTTCTGCATTTGTGTCTACTTACATAGCATTTCTAGGTTGAAGGTCTGCTTTCTTTTCATCAGCCCTTATGAAACATATGTTACATCAGGAAGAAAATGAAATTATTATGTGCGTCCTATATATCCCTGAAAAAAATTCAACTCTGTGATACAACATTATGGCAGCAAAATGCTCTCAGACCTATGATAATGCATTAATTATTTTGAAGAATGAAAGTCATTTCAGGTAGCCTAGCATGGGATAGAAACTGATTATTAGCAGTATCAATCACTAGCACACATTGTAAATGAAAGCATGAAATTCAGGACTAAGCAGGGCCCCCTTTTCAGTGCAAAATCTAAAGCTCCATGCTCTCTGGGCCAGATTTATAAGAGAAAGCAGTCCCTTAATGAATCTAATCCTATTAACAGAATTGTCAACTTACGTTTGTCATCAGAAAGATGTTTTTAGCCATGAGACATTTGATCTACGGACAGCTTTTTCATCTTCAGAGTATTCAGTGCCTCACTTCCATACAAAACATTTTTTAAATTATATAAACACGTAAATAATATTTTAATAATTATAATAAAATAATTAAAAAAAAAAAACACACCAGGTGTTTTTTTTTTTGTGGTGCTGGTGCCTGTGATGTGCGAGGGGAACATCTGACCCCAGACCTGTCCAGCCTGTCCAAAGACCTTGTCTGCAGCACAGCAACCTCTCCCCAAGGGCCCCGCCACTCCTTTCACATCACTGATGGGCACGTATGTCCACTGCGCCACCTCCAATGCCACTGCTCTCTGTCGGAGCATTGTCACATCAGTGCTGTCCTCCCGTCCAAGTGTGGGGGCTTGTGCTGGGATATATGAATTTCTAACACCTCAGGAAGGGACTACGTCATCTGCTCCAAGCAGGTGGATCCCTTCCCCTAATCAAAGCACTTCTGTGGGCACTTCTCTACCAGACCCTCAGTTACTGCACAGGAGGATGTTTATGTTCACTGATACTTAGAGGGAAGGAGTATTCAGATGCAATCAGGTGTCTTTTCAATAACAAGTGCTGCTAAAGACATTAAAAAGGCAAGCTCCTCGCCATGAAAGGGACATGCAGTCATGTCATCTCAAACAGCTCTCGCTGTATTGTGCTGTGATGGGAATATTGTTAAGCCTGGATTTAATGAATAGCACCATTCCAGAATTAAAGGGTTTTTCACTTGTACCGCGCGCAGTAGCGGTGCGGGGGATGCGTATGGACTAGGCGGAAAGAGAAACTTGTCTCAGGAGAAGCTCTTCAGTGTGTACAGACTGCAGATAAGGATCTGAAAACACACATTTGCCAAGCTCGAAGAATTCTTTTGCTGATCTAAATGTTTTCTTAATGGGCCAGTGACACAGCTGTGGATCCGCTGTGGAAAAATGGAGCCACGGTGTGCATGTGAGGAGGTAACGGGATCAGGATTCTCCCCAAGGAGGTCCAGGCCAGGGCGACTGGGGACCCCAGCGCCAGCGGTGCCTGCACCCACAGGCACGGTCCAGCGGGCAATGCTGGGGCTGGCAGCAGGGTCCGACGACGGCTCGGTGATCGTCGGAAGGCAAAGCACAGTCCCTCCTGGAAAACCAGCCACGAAGGCAGGCACAGCAGGGACTGCCTTGGCACGGGCACCATGGCAGCACGGCTCAGGGTGGGTCTGGGGGCCTGACGTGAGCTGAAATGGGGTTGCTGGGCCCCGGGGGTACAGGGGCGCTCCCTGAAGCCGGTGTGGGCAGGGACATGGCGGTGCCTCTGAGGCCCTGGCAGCTGGGGCATCAGGCAGCCTCCGCACACCTTCGCTGTGACCCTGCGCCGGGATGGCACAAGAGGGTGTTTGTGGGGCAAGAGGATGGTGGTCCCAACTGTGGTCCTAACTATGGTGCCAACCTGTGGCTCCTTGTAGCAGCCCAAGAGGTACCCGCATCCCTCGACAGTGAGGGTCAGCGTGGGATGGGGCTGCCGTAGCGCTCACCAAAGCCCCACTTGCAGGGCCAGGCAAGGTGAACTGATTTTGTACGTAGCCGGTGCGTTACAGGCGGTGAATCTCAGGATCAGGTCTGGATTCACCTGCCCAAGGAGCGCTGCACACAGGCGTGAGTGAATTTTGCGACAGGGTTAAGTCAGACGTGGGGAAAGCAGCACAAAATACGGTGATGCTGGGAAACAGTTTGGCTCCCCTGTGGATTAGTCCGTGAGCTTTAGTCGCTTCTGTTTACAGTCAGTCTTCATATAAATGGGTGTTTGGACTGTGTGTTTCCTGCTTACCCCATGCATCACGTACGTATGACGAACTCTGTGTTGGATCGCACCTGTAACAACACGGACCTGAGTCCGGCTGCATCGGGTGCGTAATTAGGGTCCAAGAATATTGCCAGGCACTAGGACCCCATCGCCTGTGCTGTTGTATTGTCGGAATAGTGTCTGACCCAGTTCTGGCCCGGGCACCCTCCCAAGCAGTTCCCAGGGCTGGTTTGGGAGCTGGGACAGGCATTCCCAGCGGGCGGGCAGAGGGGACCACCCTGTTTGGTTGGGCGAGAGCGTTCAATAGCAGCGCAGTGGGCTGTTCCAGGCCAGCTGGCCTTGGGGCAAGAGACCAGTGCCAGGCACATTTAATTTACTAGAATAGATGTTGCTTCTGTGTGCCCAGAGATCCTAAAAGGGTGCCTGGACACTTGCAGAGGCCTGGAGACTCTGGAGATTAAAGCCATCGGGAGTGAGGCTGTCCACTCCGTGCGGGTTTGCTGGAGTCCAGAGGGGCCTTCTGCACAGGTTTGTTAGAGCCCACAGCCCCCGCTGTGCTGCCATGGGGGCTGCCTGTTCGGGGGGCTCGCCGTAGCCCAGGCTGAGTATTCAGAGGCAGGGCAGTGCCGCTACCGCTGCCGGAGCCACGGCTGGCCTTGGGCAAGTAACCGTCCCCACGTGCGCACGTGCCGGGGCGGCAGGGGTCTGCGCATCCTCTCACGCTCCGACTGCCCGCTGCTGCCTGGAACTGCACAATGCATTTCCAGCACCGCGTTTCTGAGCCTGGCTTGCAGGGGTGCTTGGAGCTGCAGGCTCACCGTGTATTTGGACGTTTGCAGCATAAGCCTGACTTTAAGGACACCCTGTGGGAAAATCTGCTGGTGTCTCCTTGTAAGAAAATGAGCTTTAAGTTCCACCAGACTTAAAAAAACAAACAGGCAAACACACAAAACACAAACAACTAAAAAGAGAAAATCAGAAACTTAATGCTACATTTCCATTTCAAATCAAAGTAACAGAAGCAGATCTGTCAAATTTTAGAAGAAAGAGAAGAGGCCATAGACATCTTACGTGCCTCGTCTCATTGCAGAGCAACCCTACCCTGTTAAACTCACACCAGGTCTATTCAAGGCCAGGTTAAACGCCAGTTGGGTTGAGGCAGGTGACTTGGGCAGAATCGTACTGCTTTAGCCGACAACTGAATATGTTCTTCTTTGGTCAGAGAACACTTTGAACCCCCAAATTGTATTGTGCATCGCATCTCA